GCTTCTAAATTTCCTAATATTATTAATGATACTAAACAACTACAAAGATTTTTGGGCTCTCTTAATTATATTACAGATTATTATAAAAATCTAGCCCAAGACACTACTATTTTATATAATAGATTAAAAAAGAATGCTAAACCTTGGACAGATCAGCATACTGAAGCTGTTAAAAGAATAAAAATTAATGTTAAATGTTTACCTTGTACTCATTTAACAAATAGTGATTGGTTTAAAATAGTTGAAACCGATGCCTCTAATCTAGGTTATGGAGGAATCTTAAAACAAATCGACCCTGTTACTAAAAAGGAACAGTTAGTTAGATTTACCTCTGGCAAATGGGATAACGCCCAATTTAATCATTCTACTATTAAAAAAGAAATGCTTTCTATTATTAAATGCCTTTCTAAATTTAGAGATGATATTCTTAACTAAGAATTTTTATTATGTATTGATTGTAGCTCTGCTAAAAGTGTTATAGAAAAAGACGTTAAAAATCTTGTTTCTAAACAAATTTTTGCTAGATGGCAAGCTGAACTTGCTATGTACGAATTTAAAATTGAATATATTAAAGGTAGTAATAACTACTTGCCCGATTTTCTTACTCGTGAATTTTTACAGGGTGCCCATGAAGCGGAATAATCCCTCTTTACGGTGGGGAGGGGGGGGGAGAGGCAGAGGTAATTTACCTCAACATAGTCAGAGGGCTTATAGTCCTAATGGATTCTTTGAAAGTTCGAATCCTGAATCCAGTTCATGGAGAACTGTGGTAAAAAAGAATTATTCAGGAAGTCAGGCTAAAAGCCCAGCCTTTTATAAAGGCCTAGTAAATGACCTTATAAATGAAGTAAGTCAGGAAAATAATCCTGAGCATTTCTCGGTAATAGTAAAACAAGAAGCCAATTGGACACCTAAAAGGTGGTCAGAAACAGTTCTATATTTAGAACCAGAAGATATTTCTTCAATGCAAGATATTAAAAATATCAGAACAAGATACTTGAATGACAATTATTACCCAACATTGTCATTAAAATCCAGATCTTGGATGAGAACTTTAATTATGCAAAAGGAAATAGAAATAAATCATTTCTGGGGATCTGAAAATAGAACCATCCTTTCAGTAAATGCATCATCAAAGAGGTTATTTTACCTCGAAAGTGGGCTCTAAACCCAAACCAAGACTTGCCTCTGGTTAAAGCCCAGAATTCAAAAGAAATTTATTCTTTTAATTATTGGGATTATAAGCAGGGCCTCTGGTTAAAGCCCAGAATTCAAAAGAAATTTATTCTTTTAATTATTGGGATTATAAGCAGGTATTTTATAATATATTTTTATATCAAAATCCCAAGAATAAGCATACCTGGCTGATAAAACTTTGTCCAGAAGCCCTTACAAAGGGAATTCCTTCATGATTTTACAATTGGTGGACAATCTATGGTGCTGAATTAAGCATCTTACCTGAACCCATAAGCAAATTATATTCGGCTTGGGTAGAGTCTCATCCTCTCATTTCAAAAATGAAAGACAATAATATTGTCGAAGGCTTATGTGTTGTTTACTTCTTCTCTGAAACAGAGATTCCATGGATATGGACATGGACCTTTGAGTCTGATTGGGATAATTTACATCTACCTATTCTCAAAAGAAATCATTATTGTTGATGGTGGAATGGAATAATTATTGACGAAAAGGTCAAATTAATTGAAGAAATTATAGAGAAATAATAGTGTTCTCGAACAATCTATGTCTCAAGAGATTCAAAAGGTTAACCATATGATGCAGTTAGCCAAAATGATTAGGCGAAAGTATCTGCAAGCTTCTGAGGCTGAAATTTAGCAAAAATGTCTTGATCATATGAAAAGACAGTTTTTTGAAGTATTTGATACTATAGAGACCCAATCCAGTAAGAGCCTTGATTCTTGTGGTGAAGATAGCACTTTACCAGACGCACAAGAAGAAGACGAAGAAGAAGATATTTGGAAAGCTGCTATGGGAATATTGAATCAGGTTCCATCATCAGACCTAAAAGGAAAAGGAAAAGAAAAGTAAATAGGTCATTATGAGTTGAGCCTCGGGGAGCCACTCATCAGAATCCAGTACTTCTTAAAGAAGCTTTTTTAAAAGCAAAGCTTTAATAAAGCTGCTTTTGAAAAGAAGATTCAATATCAGTACATTACCAACTTTCTTTTGTCAGTGCTTGGCCAGTTGTCTTCTTAAAATATGTATCTTTTATTCTCTTCTAACATATATAAGGAGAAGAGTAGTTTGATGTAAGGTGTGCTCTTTCAGTTAAGTTTTATTTTCTAAGTCCAGTGTGAGTTTGGAGAGTGAAATATTTCCTCTTGTAAGATCTATCCGTATAATTAAGATTGAAGAAGATATTATCTTAAGAGTGGGTAGCCGAACTCTGTAAGTTTTTTGCTTTAATTATTTTTTGCTTTAAGTTAATTTTATGCATGTTTAGAATTAAGTTTAATGAGGATCCTATTTCATACGAGGGATTCTCTAAATGTAAATGTGGTTCAATCTTAACTAAGTGCGAATATGAGGGTCTCTTCTTTATTCATTGAGTTGAGATTGAGTCATGTTATTGTATATGAGAGAATTCCCTTATATGATGAGGATATCCATTATTCTCAAATTTCTAGAAGGAGGTTCTAAAATAATTAAACATGATAACATATAAAAGTTTTTGCATAAGATATCTAAGCATCATTGCATAGTAACACTTTCAAAATCATATTTTCAATTAGGATATAGTGTTCACAATAGCATTCTTCTTTTGATATGGAACGATTATGGACCCTCAGATGTGATTAAAATTTATAAGGATCTTAGTCTTTTGGTAAGATTTGATTTGTTTCTATGCAATCTTCTATTTTTTGTTAGGATTTCTTTAGGGTTTAATTTTGATATATTCTTCTAGCTTAGATAGGATTTTATTTGATTACATTTTTAATTATGTTAGGATTTTGATTTACTTCCAAATGTGATTTGCTAGCTTTCTCTTCTATAAATAAGATGTAATCCTCTATGAGGAATTGCGATGATGAAGAAAATATGAGTTTGAGAAATCTCTCTTAGCATGTGAATTATTACAAAAAATATATTTTCATGTAATCATTTCATGACATCTTTTCAGTTAATGTTACAAAATATATCCTTTTCAATTCATTTAATCATTTCTCATTTGGCTCCGATGGCCCCTCATTCTTAATAATCTTCAGTATCGAACATGCTCTTTCGACACTTGTTGTTGCAAGGAGCAAGACTAGTGCAGACTTGCCAACGCCTCCTTAGCTCCTGAATATCCTCTCTATTAGCCGTAGAAGTCCTTTTACTATTCCAACCAAACCAAATTTTGTGCTTATTTACACCATTAGATTCAAAACTATGCAAACTATACGCCCACCATTCATCTCCTCAACTCCTTCCTGCAAATTCCCCATATTTTTTTCTAGGAAAAAGGAAGAGGTCAAAAGCCTCAACCGGCTTCATTCAATTAGGAAAAGAAAGAAGCCGAATACATATGGAAAAGTTAAAGGAGGAACAAAAGAAAATAAAAAACGGAGAAAACAGTAAAAAATTACAAAACATCTAAAATTCTCAACCAAAAGTCATCATCCTTGTGGTAAAAAGATCCGGCCCAAATTTACACATCTCCATTGCCTTTGCTCCCAACTGCTGAACATCTTGACGACGGAATTCCCTATCTTAAGAGCAAAATCCAACTGCTTTCTCTCCTCTGCTGTCAACACCTCATCTAATCCAATTTTTATGCTCCACACCATTGGCAATCTCTCCTCTCTATAACAGCAAACAATTCCTCGTCAGTCATTGCATCGAGAACTCTCCTAGGCTATAAATTTACCATTACATGAAGCATATCATACACCTTCCACTTCCAGTTTCCAGCAATCTCTCCTCTCTATAACAGCAAACAATTCCTCGTCGGTCATTGCATCGGGAACTCTCCTAGACTATACATTTACCACTACATGAAGCATATTATACACCTTCCACTTCCAGTTTCCCGCAATCTCTGTCATCTCTTGCCGCCTCCAACTCAAGTAAGCAACCAATTTAGCCTGAGTAACATCAATTCTGGCCTAAGCCATATTCATTTGAGACATCAATGCAACCTCATAACCTACCTCAGCCTCTGTACGCTTAGCTCCAGCTCCTTCCAAAGCATTAATAATCTCCTTCTCCTTATGTGCGAGAACAATCAAACAGGAGTTCTATTTTTGTTTCAGGGCTTTACATTTTATCCCCTGTGATTTAAGAAATTATTATTGAGCAATACCTTTGTTTTCCCCCCCAAAGTGGAGCCAAGGCTCCTATGTGCCTAAGCCCCTGTATATATGCCTGTGTTATGTATGTCGATGTATGTATAGATGTTTATGTGTACGTGTGTGTGTGTATGCATATGCATGTGTGTATACCTCCTCATGACTTGTTGTCAATGCTAGAGATCATATCAAAGTATCCTCTCTCTTAAATTTGATCAAATTATTTGAATTGACAAAAAAAAGTCTTGAGTAAAGAGGCAAATTAATGAGTTACCTAGTCAATATGGAGTCAGTCTCCAACCTTTCTGTTAGCACTTGTTTCTATTGGCAATATTAAGTTGAGATTAAACTTCACTTTTGTTGTCCTTTTCCGAATTCTATTCCTTTCTGATTTTGTGCACTATGTTATACTTGAATTTGGATACTTGCATTCTAGTAATTCTATCATTCTTCTGTCTTGAATCTGATTGAATTACTAGCGTATACCTTGAAATAATCTTGATTTATAAAGGCAAATCCCTTAGTTGCCAAAGGCATCATGAAGTCCCTTGTTCTCGGGACTTTATTAAGTACCTTTTGGGATCCAAATCTGGTTTTATGCAAGTACTTCTGAGTATTTTACATTTCTGGAGTCCTGATTATTCATATTGTTTTATAGCTCTGAAACACCCCCTTTTGGCTTCGCTACACTGTTTGCATTATCTGCAGGACTCGAGCCTCAAATGAGGTTTTCACGATGAAAACTTATGAATTATCTACTTTAAACAGAAAATGAAACTACGGAGGAACCTTCACGTGTGGAAGTTGGGAATGATGAACTATGCTTCTGCTCTTAAACTCCAAGAGCAGCTAGTTTCTGAAAGAAAAGCTGGCAGAATTCCGGACACTATTTTGTCCCTTCAACACCCACCTACATATACACTCGGAAAGCGACGGACTGATCACAACTTACTAGTTCCCGAGTCTGACCTCAAATCCATGGGTGCTGAGCTTCACTACACTGAAAGAGGAGGCGATATAACATTCCATGGACCAAGACAAGCCATCCTATACCCGATAATTTCGCTTAGGGATATCGGTTTTGGTGCTAGAAAGTATGTTGAAGGCCTGGAATCAACAATGATAGATCTAGCTTCTATACATAGAGTGAAAGCTCGCCCAGGAATCAAAGGGGAGACGGGGGTTTGGGTTGGAGACAGTAAGATTGGTGCAATTGGTGTTAGGATATCTTTAGGCATCACATCCCATGGATTGGCCTTCAATATTGATCCTGATCTGAACTATTTTAAGCATATTGTGCCTTGTGGGATTGCGGATAAAGGTGTGACATCCTTGAGAAATGAGACAGAAATGGAACTTCCGGACGATGAGGTAATACATGAGCAGCTTGTCCAGTGCTTTGCAAAATTGTTGCATTACACCGATATCCAATGGATATCGGATACTTCACCTTTGTCTACTTATTAGAAGATTAAATGGGAGGTTTGTTCGTCGATTTCTTTTTTCCCCTTGAAAGTTTGTAATTTTGATATATCTGATAAAACTACCATTAATTATGGTGAATAAAATTCATTGTATTTGTGAAGACTGTCCACGGAGGAGTAACTAATAGAGACGCATTTCTTTGATGCGCTTCACGTGTATAATGATTCTATGAGAACACTTTTTTATTATTATGGAAGTTTACTAAAAGTCTGGGTCAAGATTAAGGTAAAGGATCAAAATTCAGTTTATTTTACTTATTTGACCTTTTCTTTTGTTAAAATAATAATAATAATAATAATAAACTCAGTTTTCCTTTTTGACATCAAAGGGACCATTTGAACTTTAGCCCAGAGTTGGTATAACCTTCAAAAGTCTCGTTTCAGTAATTTTCCACTCAGTCAGTTTTCTTCTACGTTTCTTCTCACGTCAGAAAATACCAATGAAAATTTCCCTTCACTGGTAAAGTATGTGAATTATGTGTGGATAGTATTCAGTGTTGAAGGTAGAGGGATGCATTATGCAGTGCAGTATTTACCAGCTATAGTTGGTACCAGAAGGCTTCCATCAGCTTGGGAAGGGGTTGAGGAAGAAGGGTTAATGATTAAAATAGTTAACCTCTCATGAAAAGGTAAAAAATAATTAAATTTCTTTTGGATTAGATAGTTAAGATGAAGGGCGTTTTTTTTTTTTTTGGCATTTGGCAATTAAAGAAGAACAATTTTTCACTTTAGCCCTATTTAAATTTTTTATTATTAAAATCGACCTTTTTTTCTTTTATTTACCAAAACCGACCCGATTTCTTGATTAGTGGCTTAATTACATTCCTAATTAGTCAGGGTTGCTAACCCCGACTATTTAGGATATTAATTTTTAGGGTTTAAGGCTTCTAATTAGGGTTTAAGACCTTCCTAAATAGTCGGGGTTGGCAACCCCGACTAATTAGGAATGTGATTAAGCCGCTAATTAAGAAATCGGGTCGGTTTTGATAAATAAAAGAAAAAATGGTCGATTTTAATAATAAAAAATTTTAAAAGGGCTAAAGTGAAAAATTGTTCATTAAAGAAAGGTTAAGAAGGTTAATCTTGTTGTTATGTTTTTTCAAAATACCAATTTTAATCTTATTAAAAGTAGAAAAACTACCAACGATTCTTGGATAAATAGGTTCAAACTTCCTCTATAAAATGCGTGTGCACAACAAATTAGTTACTTCATATAACTCATAATTTGCAAAAGAGAGAGTTTTTATCGGTGAAACTTTTTACTAATGCAAATTGTACATGTGAAGTTATATTCATCCGCAAATGAAAGTGAAACAATAGATAAACATGCTACAAGCTAAGGAGATCGATCAACTTAATTAGTACGTAGTACTGTAAATGGTAGATCAACTTGTCGACTTCTTGATGGGCCGGACAATCCCGGTCATCTTCATCAAATTCAAAATTTTCTGCGGTTCAGTTATCAACTATGTGCTAATCTAGAGAAAGTGTTAATTCTTTCCAGCTTTACTCACTAGATACATTTTTAGTTCCAAGTATAACAAGTATACACGGAACATCACCGAAGCGATCAGACAGTGAACAGCAAATTACGACCGCTGCTGCCTTCGCCTATTGATCATCACCAGCAAACACCGATTTCAACCACCGCGAAAAATTGATCAAGAACGGTGTATACACAAAATAACATGTCGTCGTCCAACTGATCAATCCCTGTAAAACAAAGCAAAACTCGTCTTAACTTTTTGTCACAATTAATTAAGAGAGAAGTGCAAGAAGACTAATTCTTCACACTTGACAAAAACTTACCTCGCCGAAAACTATGATATCCGCCCTCGGATAATCCCATAGGTGAAAGAGTCTGCAGAAACATGGTAAAATTCAGAAAGTTATCTTAATAAATTAATCTCCATATGGCAAAGGTCGGTAATGATCATGAGGGTCTCACTTTATCAGTGGGATCTCAGCAAGAGGGCAAGCAAAGCCAACGAGACAAGCCAAGGTGAAGCCCGACCAAGTTCTATCGAGGAGGAGCCACACAAATTCTGCCGTTGCAAACAAGGTGTACGCTTCGATGTCGCTGGCTACGTTTGCTTTGTGCATTTCAGCGCTCAGCTCGATAAACGCTGCGAGAGTTCTAGTGAACGAGGTGGGGAGATCAAAATCAGCCTAGCTACGTACTTTTGGTTTTCTTGTTTGATTTATTAGTTATTATTCGAAGGAAGTTGCAGAACTGAGAATACTGACATTAAAGAGAGAATCGCTTTATCCAGGCTTCCAACTGGAGGTTTTGAGTTAGGAGGGGCTCTCTCGTCCAGATAGAGCTGCAGTAATCCTACAGTGCAGTAGAAAAGCCCAAGCAAAGGCGGAACCTAATCGAGAACAAATATTTATGGAGGATTGCTTAATTAAAATGTCTTTTCAGAAGCAACAGAAACATGGATAAATCTTTTCAAAAAAAAAAAAAAACAAGGATAAATCTCCCCTATTCATCAGGCTTTCGCAACAGGTTTTTCGATCTGTTTAATTTTACAACTCTATTTTTCACTTTTAGATTCTACAGATGACCTTTTTAATTTGTGGCTTGATTAATCAAATTGAAGAGCTTCTAAAAGTAACAGTTGAACTTCTTGCAAATGTTTGTACACGCATTTAATTGTTCTAACTACTTTTGACCAGGTTCGCTCTTATATTTCGTTGCAAAGCCACAAGATACATACATCTTGAAAACAGGTGGGTAGGATTGATACCCATATGCTGGTGCGAAGAGGGCCAATATCAACTGCTCCGTTGTGGTACGTCTGCAGGCTGACCCTTGAATGGATTCCATCAAGAAGAGGGCCCAAGACGAAGCCTGACCCAAATAGTGAAAGAGGAATTAAAGGCCGAGAGCCCTTGGGGGGTGCCTTTCTCTCTCTCCTCATGCTGCACAGGGTGTTGCTCCTCCTATAGGTCAATGGGGGAGGAGAAGAGAACACTGAGGCTACGTCGGCTCGCATACTTTTGTCTCTTTTTGGGGAAAGATTCAGGAGGAGGGGGAAATATTGGAGGATATTTTTATGTGGACGCGAAGGTATTTGTGCATGTTCACATGTGGGCAAGCTCAGAGCTCTTGGATTGACGAGTGAGGCTTTTAGGTACAATGTTTTTCTGAGTCTCCTGTTCACTAGGGCTTTCAGTAGGAGTGCAAAGTAATCTGTGTCTCTTGGGGTACAGATACAGTTAGTAAAACCTGTAGCTGATAGGATATAATTATGGATTCCGATATATAGTGAAATATCCGGATCCATACTTGAAATAGCAAGCTCAGAGCTCTTGGATTGACGAGTGAGGCTTTTAGGTACAATGTTTTTCTGAGTCTCCTGTTCACTAGGGCTTTCAGTAGGAGTGCAAAGTAATCTGTGTCTCTTGGGGTACAGATACAGTTAGTAAAACCTGTAGCTGATAGGATATAATTATGGATTCCGATATATAGTGAAATATCCGGATCCATACTTGAAATATATATATATATATATATATATATATTACGAACATATTAATGAGCTGTCTTGAATCATGTGATTGTACTTTTATAATTGCCAGTGTGCACATCGTGCATAACACGACCCCCTATTTTTTTAAGCACTGCATTTTGAACTTGTCTCCCTCTAAGTTTTGATACATTTGATTTAATTATTGTATGCTTAAAATTAGAAACCATATCTACTCCTCTATACTTAAAGAAGGATCCAATTTTAATACATTTTATTTAGAAATCATATCTAGTCCTCTATGCTTAAAGAAGGATCCAAGTTTTAATACAATTGCTATAGTATGAATAGTAACTTCAAGCATGGAGTAGCAGATTTGATTTATCGTTTATGCTACTTACTGTAGCATGAACAGTAATTCTAGCGAGGAGTACCAGATTTGATTTTTACTGTTTACGCAACAAAATTTACTGTAGTATTTACTGTAGTATGAACAGTGATTCTTTGGATTGTCCTTCTAAGTATAGAGAAGTAGATATGATTTTTTCATATCCTTTTTATGTATCCACGTGTTTATCCGTATATGTATTCGCATACATATCCGTATTCGTAACGGATTCTAGTGGATATAGATATAAAATTTTCTTATCAATGCACATCTCATATCCCTATTTGTAATTAGCAAATCGAAATGAATATGATAAAGAATTATATTCAGGCCATACAATCATTTACGCTCGTAGCTTTTAGCATAGCAGGAAATAGTATTGGCCTATCATTTTGAGTCCTTTGATTGATGTGTTGTTGAGTAAGATGCGCAGACCCCTACAAACCCTTTCTATACACTTGTAACGTAACCAAAGGATGGACATGCGCCACACACGGGACACATCTACCGATAACCGAAGTGACACACCATCTCTGTTTATCCTACGCTACTAGGCATTTCTCACGTGCAAATGCACATGCACGAGAAAAACTACTGATTGTGTCAAAATATCAACCCAAAAAAATAATAAAAAACATTTAAGTTAGGGGTTATTAAAAAAAAAAGCTCCCTTCGCTTTTTAGATTTTTAGGAGGATTTTCTGATAAAATCTAAAAGTTAAAAATGAGGGTTTTTGTAATGATCCCCATATGTAAGGGGGGTTTTCTGATTTTTTGGAAGTTAAAGGGTTTTTTTTGATATACCTAAAGTTAAAGAGGGGTTTTCTAATATTAACCCTTAATTATATGACGGCATATTTGAAAATATTTCATTCTTTCTACCTACAAAAAAGCGAGCTCTTCGCTACAAAATTTTTTAGGGTATATTTGGCAAAACACTTCCTAAGTTTGGCCATTTATGAGATAAGCTCTTAACTATTTTAGTTCCACAAATCGCCCTTAACTTTGAGGGGATTTTTATATAGCGGCTTCCAAAACAGCCGCGCCCGCGCCCGCTGCCCGGGCCGGCCCGCGACTCGGTCGCGGAAACCACGGCCCAAGTCCGGGGCTCCGGCCGCTGGCCCGGGACCGGCTCTTTTGGTGCCCTCGGCCTTGGGGCCCGGCCCGGCCCGGAATAGTAGTTTTTTTAATTTTTAATTTTTTATTTTTATGTATTATATTATATATGTATATATAAATATATATAATATGTATAATATATGTATATATAATATATTTTTATATATGTATAATATATGTATATATATATATTATATGTATATATAACATATTTCTATATATGTATAATATGTCATATGTGTGTATATATATAATCTCTCTTAGTATATAAGTATATATAAGTATACTTTCTCTTATGTAAGTATATATAAGTATACTTTCTCTTATATAAGTAGATATAAGAATACTCTCTCTTATATATGTATAATGTATGCATGTATGTATATATATACTCTCTCTTAGTATATATGTATATATAAGTATACTCTCTCTTATATATGTATACTCTCTCTTATATAATATATTTCTATATATGTATAATATGTCATATGTGTATGTATATATATACTTATGTATGTATATATATACTCTCTCTCTTAGTATATATGTATATATAAGTATACTCTCTCTTATATATGAATACTCTCTCTTATATAAGTATATATTAGTATACACTCTCTTATATATGTATAATATATGTGTAAATATATATATATACTAATATACTCTCTCTCTTAGTATATATGTATATATAAGTATACTCTCTCTTATATATGTATACTCCCTATTATATAAGTATACTCTTTTATATATGTGTGTGTGTATACTCTCTCTCTTAGTATATAAGTATAGTATATTACAACGGTTACTTTCCCATTGGCCCAATGAGCAACGGCTACAGGGTTACTTATGCGATTCTCTCTCTCTCTTAAATTATAACTTATAAATATATACAATATATTTACATATAATATATGTATATATAATATATAGTTACATAATAATTTATAAGTATATACTAATACATAATTATATAAAATATAATAATATTAAACTAATTTTTAGTATTTTTTTATAAAAAAAGAAAAGAAATTTAAAAAAACCTAGGTGGGATGTACTTATCTATTGTGATGCGATGAATTTCAAAATAAATTTATACTTATAATTTGTAAATGATTTGTTAATTATTAATAAAGAATTTATTTTTATAATTTTTTATTTATAATTTATGTCATTTTAAGTGATTAATAAAATTATTATTTTTTTGTCTTTTTTTATAATTTAAAACTTAAATAACGGGCCCGGACCCGGCCCGGGGTACCCGGGTCCGGGTCCGGTCTCCGGTTGTGCCCGGCCCGGGCCCGGATTTCCGGGCCGGGCCGGGCATGCCTAGATTTTTACACATAACGCCGTTGAAGTTCCTTCTATTCCACTAATGTCACGCCCCCATGTCCGAGGACACCACCACAGGCACGTGACCCGTTCATCATCGTATACACGAGCAAGAAAAATCCCTTTGCACGCACTTAAAGCTTCATTTGAGCTCTACTTTACGTGCACAATACCGCGCACAATATCCACAAAACAACATTCAATATGTATAGGAATAAGCAGAGGAAACTAAAATGAAATATTTGATATATAGAAGCCTGAGGGATCAAGAGTACGACTGATGACACACTTGAGCATGTATAAAGATAGCATATTTACAATAATAGAATAGGGAACACATCATAAAACCAAGCCGCAACATAAAGTAAAGTGAGAAAGTGTAGAGTTCCGCGTGGGCTAAACAACCGCAACGTATCACATATCAAAATCTTGAAGTACGTACACATGCATTAGAGCTCACTTGCATCTCAGTCTACAAGCCTAATAACTTAGTATTCGGCTTTTATATGTTATTTTAAAAATGAAGGGGGTGAGAGTATTCGGATGGAATCAAGAGTCATATATATCTCATGCATGTCACAATGTACAGCGCCAAATTAAGGGTGCTTCATGGCAACACATTAATCCAGTATTTCCACAAAATGAAACCAGAAATAACTGAAACATGAAAATCTGAATTAATTAAGCCTCGATCAATATCCCGTTAGGTTAATTAATACCCCTACGTTTAAGTTTTTGGTTGACGGTACAAAAAATGCTGTGCTGGTCCTCGAGCATTTCCAATCTGAACACACTCACTGTTAGGAAATCCTGCATCGGTTGCCATGTAGTGGATCCAACAACACGATGTTAGTCTAAGGTGTAGATCCAAAGTTCGAGATGAAAGCTGGAATCAAAAGACAAGAAAAAAAATCGAGCTGACAGATCTGCGGTCGACCGGGTCGGTCGACCGCGAACGTGCACAGGGGGCTGGGAGAGCCTGGATCAGGTCGCGGTCGACCGGGCCGGTCGACCGCCAAAACCCTGTAAGTATTTTGGTCTCGGGTCTTGCCATCGGTCGACCGGGCCGGTCGACCGCCAAACTCTCTGGAATCTGATCGGTCGACCGGGCCGGTCGACCGCGACGCAGTCAAACAGAATCCTGTTCTGTTTAGGAATCTGTTTCAACCAGGATTCTATATATACCCAAACGATTTTAGGGTTTGTACAACATCAAAAAGAGAGCTTTTTGACTGCAAAAAGGGAGAGAATCTCAGAGAGATTAATCCCTTATTTGAGAGCTTGTATTTTCTTCTTCAATTAATAAAGAGATTGTGTGGTGTGGCTCCCGAGGACGTAGGCACGTTGCCGAACCTCGTTAAATCTGTGTGTTCATCTCCTTTACTGTTTTTACAAGTTAGATCTTTATTTGTGGTTTTATTCCTACTTTCCTACTTTCAACACAAGGTCCGGAAGGGCAATGGTTCGATTGATTGTTTCGAAACCCTAACACATGACTCCAGGTGGATATCCTAGCTAGCCTAGGCTTTGTGATGTTCATATCCGAAGTTTCAAGGAAACGATATCCGTAATTTTTGAACACATTCAATTTCCACTTAACACACATCCTAGAATTTCTCCAGGCCAAGCACGCTTAACTTTGAAGTTTCTAAGAGCTGGGTTCCTGAAAAGAAGATGCATCTTGATGGTAATCGGTTATTCCAATCAAAATCTATCAATAGCTACATGCACATCACGCCTCTCAAGGATTGGGTATTACCACACACACACACACACACACACACACACACACACACACACACACACACACACACACACACACACACATATATATATATAATTATATATAGTATTATATATATATATATATAATATATATATATATATATATATATATATATATAGTATATATACTTATATATATATATGAGAGAAGTGGAGAAACTTGGTACCAAGTTGCACCTCCAAGCACCCCGGTGTAGTGAAGCTGGGGCATATCTTGTCCCGTATATCTACATTGGAGTTGGTGAAGCGTTGGGTTGGAGGGCTCTAACTTCAAGAGTGTGATATAGGGGGCCAAGGATGAATCCCACATCGACTATCATAAAGTTGCTTTTCTAGAAAACTTGGTACAAGGTTCCCATTTCTCTCTCTCTCTCTCTGCTCTCTCTCTCTCTGCTAGGCAACCTAGACGGAAATTCCGTCTAGGTTGCCTCAACCTAGACGGAATTTCCGTCTAGGTTGCCTAGTCAACCTAGACGGAAATTCCGTCTAGGTTGATCTTTAACCTAGACGGAAATTTCCGTCTAGGTTGAGGCAACCTAGACGGAAATTCCGTCTAGGTTGATCTTTCCGTCTAGATTAACAAACTAGACGGATCTTTCCGTCTAGTTTGTTTCAACCTAGACGAAACAAACTAGACGGAATTAATTCCGTCTAGTTTGACCCAAACTAGACGGAAAAAAATTCCGTCTAGTTTGTTCCGTCTAGGTTGCTAGTTTTTCTACTAGTGCTCCTTCCCCTCAAATTTAAGGATTATCAGTAGGACGACAATAAAATACTATCCTCAGTGTGGTTATCCTCTAATCATTGGGCAAGATGACTACTATTTGGTAGACTACGTACGGATGATCTACGTTGGGTAAACACTGAACTGAGATTTTCAATTTACCCGATATAAATTAAGATTTGCAATTAATTAGAGGGCATGCTAGGTGAGTTACATTTTTCGTCGTGCTTGATCTATATGTATGTCCGATAGATAGATCATATGTTGTATAGCCTAAACGCTAGCTACATCATATCTAATCAACTTGATGAAAAAGTAAACATACATTAACATAAAATCTACTTACATAGTTACATGCCTCGTCTACAAGTCGCACTCTGCATGCACCGAGCATTCTCTTGGTCCTCAGAAAAGAATCCCAAAGAATAAAAGGAAAAAAAAAAAAAACTAAAGCGAACTTTAAGACTTCATCTGTACTAGAACTGTCCTCTACTAGTTGTATTTATGCACTCTCATCTTCACATCATGTGCAAAGCTCTCTCAGAATAAGACCACATTTTCAATCTCCATTCACATTCTTTTCACTCTTTTTTTTTTTTAAGATTTGTTGCCCGTGAACCAAACATAAACAAAATTGTAATGTCTGTCTTTCTTCCTATTCTATTACTAACGCACTGAAATTTTCAAAGGATGCTTCGACGGTGCCGCCTGTAAACGCAGAACCTTAAACATTTTTAATATAGAATGGAGTGGTTGCATTTGTTATGGGCTCAAGAAATAATTTAGATGGCAACAAGATCCTCACTCTCCTAATTCCTCATTTCTTTAATTTAGTCCGAGTGAAGATGTCAATGGAATAGGATCTTATCGACTCAGAATGATATCTTAAGGTCTAGAGATACAATATTCAACAAGATTATCCTAATCGGTGCTTTCTTCTTCTGCCGGCTTAATATTAATAATAAATCATGGACCGATGCACCGAAAGAGACGGTCGCAAATTGGATTAAAATAAATCTAATACAAACTAAAAACAAAGAGGATGTAGATAGTAAAATCTTTGATATCAAATTTGATACAGATGCATAGTTATTTAGTAGAGCCTGAACTCAAGGAGGAGCGAAGAAGGCTAGCGCGCGTGTAAAAAAGACTAACTTAAGTTCTGAAATAAGACAGGCGTTAGCGTGTTAGAAGATAGGGTTAAGTGCATGATAGACCCTGTAACATCACCCAATTGTCAATACACCCATGTAGTTCTAATTGTGTGGATAGACTTCTGAGTGAATTCTTTTTGGCTCTTGAAAGAGTCAAAAAAAGTTCAGCTGTAGAGACAGACGGTCCACCAATTGCTAATTGTTTTAACTCTCGAAAGATTCATAAAAGAGTTCACTGGAGGGGTTTGTCGGCCTAATTAGAACTACAGGGGTCTATTTGCAATTGGGCGATATTACAAATAGGCATACATGTAATTTACTTTGAAAGATAAAAGACCAACTAAATAAAAGACCAACTGAAATTAAAAACACTTCCGTCTAGGTTGCCTCAACCTAGACGGAAATTTCCGTCTAGGTTAAAGATCAACCTAGACGGAATTTCCGTCTAGGTTGACTAGGCAACCTAGACGGAAATTCCGTCTAGGTTGAGGCAACCTAGACGGAATTTCCGTCTAGGTTGCCTAGTCAACCTAGACGGAAATTCCGTCTAGGTTGATCTTTAACCTAGACGGAAATTTCCGTCTAGGTTGAGGCAACCTAGACGGAAATTCCGTCTAGGTTGATCTTTCCGTCTAGATTAACAAACTAGACGGATCTTTCCGTCTAGTTTGTTTCAACCTAGACGAAACAAACTAGACGGAATTAATTCCGTCTAGTTTGACCCAAACTAGACGGAAAAAAATTCCGTCTAGTTTGTTCCGTCTAGGTTGCTAGTTTTTCTACTAGTGCTCCTTCCCCTCAAATTTAAGGATTATCAGTAGGACGACAATAAAATACTATCCTCAGTGTGGTTATCCTCTAATCATTGGGCAAGATGACTACTATTTGGTAGACTACGTACGGATGATCTACGTTGGGTAAACACTGAACTGAGATTTTCAATTTACCCGATATAAATTAAGATTTGCAATTAATTAGAGGGCATGCTAGGTGAGTTACATTTTTCGTCGTGCTTGATCTATATGTATGTCCGATAGATAGATCATATGTTGTATAGCCTAAACGCTAGCTACATCATATCTAATCAACTTGATGAAAAAGTAAACATACATTAACATAAAATCTACTTACATAGTTACATGCCTCGTCTACAAGTCGCACTCTGCATGCACCGAGCATTCTCTTGGTCCTCAGAAAAGAATCCCAAAGAATAAAAGGAAAAAAAAAAAAAACTAAAGCGAACTTTAAGACTTCATCTGTACTAGAACTGTCCTCTACTAGTTGTATTTATGCACTCTCATCTTCACATCATGTGCAAAGCTCTCTCAGAATAAGACCACATTTTCAATCTCCATTCACATTCTTTTCACTCTTTTTTTTTTTTAAGATTTGTTGCCCGTGAACCAAACATAAACAAAATTGTAATGTCTGTCTTTCTTCCTATTCTATTACTAACGCACTGAAATTTTCAAAGGATGCTTCGACGGTGCCGCCTGTAAACGCAGAACCTTAAACATTTTTAATATAGAATGGAGTGGTTGCATTTGTTATGGGCTCAAGAAATAATTTAGATGGCAACAAGATCCTCACTCTCCTAATTCCTCATTTCTTTAATTTAGTCCGAGTGAAGATGTCAATGGAATAGGATCTTATCGACTCAGAATGATATCTTAAGGTCTAGAGATACAATATTCAACAAGATTATCCTAATCGGTGCTTTCTTCTTCTGCCGGCTTAATATTAATAATAAATCATGGACCGATGCACCGAAAGAGACGGTCGCAAATTGGATTAAAATAAATCTAATACAAACTAAAAACAAAGAGGATGTAGATAGTAAAATCTTTGATATCAAATTTGATACAGATGCATAGTTATTTAGTAGAGCCTGAACTCAAGGAGGAGCGAAGAAGGCTAGCGCGCGTGTAAAAAAGACTAACTTAAGTTCTGAAATAAGACAGGCGTTAGCGTGTTAGAAGATAGGGTTAAGTGCATGATAGACCCTGTAACATCACCCAATTGTCAATACACCCATGTAGTTCTAATTGTGTGGATAGACTTCTGAGTGAATTCTTTTTGGCTCTTGAAAGAGTCAAAAAAAGTTCAGCTGTAGAGACAGACGGTCCACCAATTGCTAATTGTTTTAACTCTCGAAAGATTCATAAAAGAGTTCACTGGAGGGGTTTGTCGGCCTAATTAGAACTACAGGGGTCTATTTGCAATTGGGCGATATTACAAATAGGCATACATGTAATTTACTTTGAAAGATAAAAGACCAACTAAATAAAAGACCAACTGAAATTAAAAACACAAAGACGCATCAGCTTGAGTCAACAGTTTGAAATCCTGTCACGTGTGCATTGTAGTATTTTACAGAAACTTTCCAGTTGTACTTAATGTGTGAATTCTCCCCCCTCCCTCTATAAATTTCAACCACCATCTCCATCTATGACCTACTTACTCTCTCCCTCCCATCTTTCATTCATCTCTTACCATCATGGTTATGCCTTCCACAGACCCGGCCCACAATGACTGCACCCGGAACACTGACATACCCGTTATCGACCTGAACGGGTCCAGGCATCGAGTTTCAGAATCCATACTCAAGGCCTGTGAGGAGTTTGGGTTCTTCATGGTTACCAACCATGGTGTGGCTGAAAATGTCATTGCCAGAATGGAGGCAACCGGGTCTGAGTTCTTCTCTCTACCCGCATCCGAGAAGCAACGTTCCGGGCCTCCCAACCCTCTCGGGTACGGGTTCAGGAGCATTGGATCCAATGGGGACACAGGGGAGGTGGAGTATCTCCTCCTTCATGCTAGCCCTACCTATGTCTCTTTGAGAGCCAAGACCATTTGCAAAAAGGACCACCTAGGCTTCAGGTACACCAATATTTTCTGAGTAGTATGGTTGGTGGCTATGGTTTCCTGATAAGTGCGATGATTTGTAAAGTGATATTTGTGTTGTCTCTGTGTTTTCCATGTTAGCTGGCAGAATATTGCTTTAGTTCTGCTTAATATCATTTCAGGCTTAGGAGCAAAGCTTAGTTTGTTAACACAAGTTACGAACCTCTGTATTTGTTTTCTCGTCTAGTTTAAGCCTCCGAATTTTCATAGTTTCAGTTTCTCACAAAATCATAACAAGGGTAACGCTTAAATTGAGCCATATTTTCTGCATCCCAAATGTGGGTCATCTTGATCATCAAACATGTTTTAAACAAGAGTTCTTGATTTGTATGTAGTTTTATGTTTATGTCCTCATAAAATCAGTTTCATGTCTGAACCACGCTGATCTTTTCCAGAGCCTTTGAAAAATTCAGTTAAAGCTTTGCTGAAACTATCAAACCATAGATTTAGTTAACCCCACAAAGTTGAACATTGAATAATCATAACTATGGCCATGAAAAGGGAGTTACTGTTATTTATGAAAAGGATGATGTCAATGAGTAGTCCAATCAAATCCCCAATAAGTGGACAGTTCCCTTCAGGAGACGTAGCCTTACTATATATAATGAGATTAGTGGTACTTCCATCTGAACCTGATCATAACTTTATATGCTAATCATTTTTTAGGGGGTCATCCAACTTTACTAATCCAGTACCTACACACAATGCTTGGTTGGGTGGGCAATCACAATAAACCTAGGCCTTAGAACAGTGGGAATTAAATCTTAAACAACCCTCCTATCTCAAAATAGACCTTCTCTCTGTGCATTTGGTAATGATAGCAACAAGATCCTCCAACTAATACTTGGGCTAGATTTTCTCAGGGTTGATGCTTGCCTTCATGGTAAGCATCAATCTTGCTACCTTTCGCGAACACAAACTCTTGCAAGATTTGCCTAATAAGTATGCTTTCTTTCGTGGAAAGCATAGCTTGCTTACCATTCGCAAGTGCGAAACCTACCCAATTTGCTCGATCACCTTGTGTCCTTTCGTTAATCGAAAGGGCATCAACTTCAAGCTCTTTCCAAGGTTACATGATGTGTAGTCAACTTTAGAAGCTACTGATAAAATCCTTGCATTTCTATCTATCGTATCGACGTTGATACGAGCTAGCCCCGCGAGTTGTGTTCAGAGAAAACCGGTTTTCGCCTAAACCATGTCCAAAATTTTGAACTGAACAATCTTAGTATAATTCTCACCCAGTTCTTTTCCAAACAGAATTTTTTTTTAGCTCGTAACTAGAGTTCCGTTAGCCCGGCCGGTGGGAGAGCTGCCAAACAAGCCCCTGAACCCAAAAGTCGAAAGCATAAGCACGTATTCCGCTAAACATCTGCCAAACAATTCCCCTAGAGTCAAGCGTAGGCATGTATTCTGATAAACATTGTGGACACGATGTGTACTTAAGGTCACTTTTGGCTCACACGTCACTATTCCGAGATTATTTCTACACTTCAGATAAAAATCAGCAGAGATAGGAAATTGGATATTCTGGAACACAAAATCCCACGGAGCACCCCCCACGTGTTCTAATCACTTCCACTTGGGTGTTTGAATCTCAATCATTCCTTTAATTTTTGTTGGACGGCTGAGAGATTTATCGGCACGAGAGTGGATGCGTGCTCTTCAAATAGTACACCTGAAAAAGGAAGTGTTCAGGCAGTAGGGAAAAAAAAAGGATGGTCTTTCTATCTATCTAAAGCCAAGCAAGTGCTCAGATGAGCTGTTTATGGTTTTGAAAAAAGGAGGAAAAAAAAAAAAAAAACAGAGACAGTAAAAACTGAAAAAAAAAGGGTGTCTCTGTGTGTTCAATCCATTCGAATCACCTTTACCTCACCCTTTCCAGATTGCACCCTGACCCTCCTTTTTTTTGCCCCCCTTTTGTTCTCTTTCACAGCTGTGTTGTGACCGAGTATGTGGAATCAATGAGAAGCCTAGCATGTGAGATATTGGAGCTACTGGGTGAGGGATTAAAGCTGGGGGACACGGAGATTTTCTGCAAGCTGCTTAGGGACAGTAAAAGTGACTCCTTGCTGAGGCTCAACCACTATCCCGCCTCCTATTCCAGCGCTAGAGATGACTGTAGAATTGGATTTGGAGAGCATACTGACCCTCAGATTCTCACCCTCCTAAGGTCCACCGTCGGCGGGCTGCAGATAATGAAAGACGGAGGGCCGTGGGTCCCCGTCAAGCCCGACCCTGCGGCGTTCTGTGTCCACGTGGGGGATGCACTCCAGGTATTTCCCACCCTCTTAGACTCTCTATCAGACATCCCGCCTGACATATGTTCGAGGGTTAATTGCGAATAGACCCCCCTGTGCTATCTCCCTGATTGTGGACGAACCCTTTGAGTGAAACTGTTTTCACGCAAGGGTTCTATACGCGACGATAGAACTGCAGGGGTCCGCAATTAACAATATGTTTGTTTGATTAGTTCATGTAATCACTGTAATGATGTGGGGTTGGTTTCATTGAAGGCTATGACAAACGGTAGGCTTGCGAGCGTGAGGCACAGAGCTGTAGTCAACTCCTACACTCAAAGAATGTCGGTGGTCTATTTCGGGGCACCTCCACCTCATGCATCCATATCCCCCCTCTCGGAAACGGTCACACCAGAAAACCCTCGACGGTACAAATCTTTCACTTGGGGTGAATATAAGAAGGCCATGTATTCTCTAAGGCTCGGCCAAAATCGCCTCGATCACTTCCTGAGTAGTAATGGAGAAGAAGGAGACTGTGATACATGAGGAGTATCCAGTGTGATATTTTTCTTAGCTCCCGCAAGTTTTGTTTTTGTTTTCCTGAAGGAAAACTAAGTGGGAGTAGCGTTGTGCTCTAGTGTTATAGTGTAGCTTCACTTGGAGAATGTACAGTAGAAGAGTTGTGGAAAATGCGAAGATGATAGGGCATTGCTCATGCTTTCATCTTCGCTTGATGGGATTGGAATGTGACCTGGTCTACCCTAATTTGTCTCTACGATTTCCTTTTACCTCTAAAGTGCAGTGGTGAAAGTGTCACTTCATCTTTGTTCATTAGTCAAACCAAAAAAGCCTAAACCTAAGCTCACATGTCTCTCTGATAAAAATGTGGGGTGAATGAACGAGAAAAAGATTCAAATAGTAGTAACACAACAACAACGAGATGCCAACCACCTCTAGAAAATCATTGAAAATTAAGAAAAAAGGCTACCAATTGAACAGTGGGTCAAATGCTCTTCCTAAATTATCTAATTAAAATTCCAAATGGCAATCTCACAAGGATACCAATTAAAGCTGCCAATGCATGCAGAATTTCTGGTATTGTAGAATTTTCGATTAGCACTGTTGACATATAGAGCATCAATAGTACAAACATGTACTCGTTATTTAAAATAAGTACTAATTTTTTTTAATAATATTTAAGCTCAAAAAAAAAAAAAAAAAACAAACCTTTTATCAGCTTTAGGAAGAGACATTGAAAACAATATTGCTGGCACCTAAATACAAATTTGCTACACTTAAAAAGCTAAAACTCAAACTTGCATCCAACCAATAATGAGAAAGCACGCCATCAACATACAGTATCAATTAAATGACATCCTATACATAACCCAACGGGACTAATCAAGACCTACAACCATTCTCTGCTCTTTTACCAAGCAAAGCACGCATCAAGTGTGGATTACCAACTATTGACCAGGACTACCATGTTTCGCCCTGTTAGATGGCCAACAACCTACCATCACCCCAAGAAAAATTACTCACAATATGACATGCAAAGATTTCCTTTTCAAGAAGCAATCCACCAACCTTAAAACACAAAACTATAGCAAATATTGGAAGCTAAACAACATGGATATATAGAGAGGAGATAGATCACTCGCACCTGACATCCTGTTCGAGGCAATGGCGTCTCTCATCCTGCTCTTGAAGGCTCTGGTGAAGGGAGAGAAAGATCACGACGCTTCATCATTGGATGTATTCAAGTTGCACGACAAGAGCATATCTCAGCAGTTCACAAATGAGAAAAACCCAAACAACAAGAGCACATCTCAGCAGTCTACAAATAAGAAAAACCCAGACAGAAGAATCGACAACAATGAAAGCTACCACATGACCGAAAAAGAGGAGACCTGGAGAATAGCCGAATGTTTTGTTCAGCTTTAAGAGCAATTGTTAATACTGAGGATTAATCAGAAGGTACTTTTCTCTCAAAATCCTGAAGCTCCACAAAATCTACATACAGAAGGGCATAAATTTCTCGAAGGGATTATGTATACATATTTATTACAGCCTGTACATTGTTGCTTATATTTTACCAGTGAATATGAATAATAACTGTTATACTCACAAAAATGCCCACTTGTATTTAGTGCCAAATGACATCCCAAAAAATAATGTACATTATCATGGGAAAATCCTTGCAACATGAAGAAATTCCCAGTGTGAAATGAATTGTATGTTTAATTGTATATTTCCTTTTCCCAACCAACACCATTCTTAAACGAGGATCTGCGATCTGGCAGCAAGGCGAGAACACTTGGTCCGGGATGTCTTTCTTAGGCCACATACACAAAATTCGAGAAGCTCTAGATCTTCTTCACAGGTTAATATGGCAGCCATCTCTGGATGTTGCAAGAGCATTTTGGATGTCAAGAATCCAGCAATAGTCCACGTTTGATAAAGCCGTGACTGTTTCCCAATGAATCTTCCATTTCTGGTGTCATAGTATTCTGGCCACCGGTCCTTTGAAAGCCTCTTCTCAGCAATAGAAATGGCCCTCTCAGCTAATTCTGGTTTGCCCATCTTGATGCAGGCCAATGTGAACTAAAAATATTGACCAAACGAAGGGTTAAGTTTATGCTTGGAGAGAAATGAACTTTTTGGTCAATCTATATTACCTGCCACAACAACGTAGGCCAAGATCCACCATTGTGGTATGACCAAGGTCTGGAAATCAACAAGAAGCAAGCTTGATGTGAGTAAACGACTTAATCAATTCAAGAACACTAATTACTACGAAATTCTACAGAAATGGTAAAACTATTTCTTTCCTATCAATCATCATGGGAAGTTCCTACAAAATTATCCCAGATGCTCAAGTGGAACTATTCCTTGTCCAATTGATCTCTAGGAATAAGAATTTAGGTTGGTAAAGGGCTGCATGTAGTTTAGTCTCATTTATCTGTGGTCCCTGATGCATTTTATCTTGCAGTTGTGTACAACAAAAAAATAGATATATGTTTGAAAATATTAGCATGTTTAGCCAGAAATACTCTATCTGCATTAGCATGTCCACAACAGAGTCATCTACATATATAACGAGGCTGAATTTATACAAAAATAGCTATTTTAGTGCTCATGTCCGGAAAATTATTGCAAGTTATATCTTGTCCCGTTGGGACAAAGAATTTGAGTTGATCGTCCTCAGTAATGATTTATAATCTAGCTTTCAAGGTGTACTTTGCTGAATTAACTAATGCATGCTAAAAACAACTGTGGTTGCATATGAATGCAAGAAAAATTCGTCAGTTGATTCACTCACGTGTTCTTTGGATCACTGCCAGTAATTATACGCCATTCTTCATATTCTAGAGCCGGGTAGCATATTTTCAGGGGCATCTTTGCAACAAGGTCGTCCCATTTATCTTCAAAAAGAGTAAGAATACCCTCAGCTTGCCTTGGAGTAGTAAGAGATGAGACTATGGCCCATAGATTGCCAAGGGAAAAAAACCTGAAGTCCATGTGAGCTGGCTGTAGATTGCCAATGAGGTAACCTCCTTTTTCAGGGATCCAATCCACTAGCCAAGAAGGAATTTGATCAGGGTAGATATTGAATTTATTAATTGCGTCATGGGAGTATTCTTCAGTCTTGTAGCGATATATTTCATTAATCTTCTTCATATCCACCCAGTAGTACTCTCTGATGTGGAACGACAATGCACTTAGTCTGTTATTAATAGCACGTACCAAGTCCTTAGACACATCATTGATAGTGATCGTCTCACGAGCACACCGAAGAGCTGAGTAAAATAAAGCCTACAAAAATCACTTGTTAAAACAACATAAACCATTCATTTTAAAGAAAAAATGAAGAAGTTTCACAATTAATAATGAACACATGGGGTTGGACTTGGAGAATTAACAGATTACACCACAAACCCCATGCATACCATCAGAACAAGTAATCATGTTCATAAGAGCACGAGTCCTGAAAAAAGAATTTTCTTTCGCGCAGAAAGCACGTGCCCACTTATAAGTATTTCTTTTCCTCTACACAAAGGTGAAGGACTAATATCTCAAAACACCAGGCCAAGAAAATTAAAGTTTTGGTGACCATTTAAATAGACGAAATTCATAAAAGGTGAACTTACTTGGATCTCAAGGGGATGACCATGGATTCCCATTCTTCGGTCTATCATGCAAGATCCATCAGTGACCAGAAGAGAAGGGAACATGTCAAACCCATCGGATAAACATAACTTCAGGATCAATTTGATGCCTGTTTGTACATCAACTCTTTCTTGCAATGCATAATCTCCTGTAATTTTCCCATATGCCCTTAGCAATATAATCCACCACAATCCTGCCAGTATCACATAAGACGAAATAAAATGTGAAAATATCATCCTATACAAAAACATTTCTTTTATCAAGTCAGGAAAATTGAAGTCCATTAATTATTCTTGCCCAACCTATAAGTGTATAATAAATACTACATGAGTTTTCACAGTGGACTGACCAGAATCAACTGGTGCAACACGACCAATGGCTGATTCTCCAAAATCAGGATCCAAAATCTCCTCAAATGCTTCATTACTTCCATCCAAAGGCACCGCCCTGACCTTAAAACTAGCTGGCATCAGCCCTTGTCCAGGGCTATAGCAATCCACAGTCTTCTCCCAGCTCTGGTACATAGCAAGAGTAGATTTAATGGATTGAGTATGCTTCAGTAAATGTTAATTCATCAAAATGAATCAGTAGGTGTTTGTGAGTAAAGAATTAATAGAACGAAGTCTACTGCCAGAAATCTGGATTTGTATAAGGTTAGCATTAATCAACAAAAACAAAAGTTAAATGAGACAAACTATATTTATATTTTTCATATACATGTTAATTTGCAGCATCTGGAAGCAGAGGATATTAGGCCAATTAGTGCACATCAGACCTTTGAACTATTAGCAGTCCCACCGGAATAAGTACAGCTTGCACTCTTTTTGGGGGAGTAAGATCATTTATTTAGAAGTTAAAGCAAAGAAAAATACTCAACATGTTTGAAACTGTTTGATCATTAGTAGTTCTTTTTAGGTAAAGTACACTAAGCCCCCAAGAACTTTTAGCTTTTTGCAGTAAGCCCCCAAAAGCTTCTAAAATCACACTAAACCACCTATAACTATTGGAATTGCAGAAAACCCCCCAACAAGTTTCCATGTTTTGCAGATAAACCCCATGACGGTCTTAATTCACATTTATGATCTAAAATGTGTCGCCAATGCAAAATGTGGGACTTACACTGACATGGTGATTACATTCAAAACGTGGAAACATATTGGAGGTTTTCTGCAATTCCAATAGTTGTTGGGGGTTTAGTGTGAGTTTAGAAGTTTTTTGGGAGTTTACTGCAAAACACTAAAAGTTCTTGGGGGTTTAGTGTAATTTACCATTAATTTTAACTCTTCCAATATTAGCTGAGATTTAATGCACAGTGAAATTCCTGGAACCATCAGCAAACATACATTTTGTTAGTTTAGGTCTAGAATGATCAATGGATAAACAGAAAATGAAGAACCTTATTAACTGAGAACAATGTAGCTTAGTGTTGCAGAGGACAGTTCTAGAGAGATTTGGGTGGGAGAAAATGCCAAGAGAATAAGCACTCAGTGTTTGACATCATCCTGAAGAACTTCGTCAAGAATTTGATAGGATACATGCAAACAAATAACATAGCTAACTATACCAGAGGGCACATCTAGAGCTATTTGGTAAAAAGAACGCAAAAGAAATATCCACTGAACACTTCATATCATGCTGCATAATTTTGTTAAGGCTTCCTAAAATACCTGCACTAATTTTATTAAGAAAAATGATTTCATTATTATCATTGATCGATGCACTCTTGTAGAATTCAAGCCATTTATCTTACTGTTTGCTCCTCAGTACTATACTACCATGCTGCTAATGATTTTGGCGATCAATCTTTTTAATTGATCTTCTTTAGCTGAAATAAAGAAAGTTGTATTTTATTCTTAAAATTTTGTGGCATATTGCAAACTGCTCACTCATTGGAATGATCAACCAGGCAAACAACAAAAAAAAAAATAATGACCTGCGTAAATATTGAAATCGAGAGTACTATAGATATTAGACTATCTATCAATACAACAGTTACCGACCAGCTCAACCATGTTGTTGCAACATTTGGTAGATCTTAAGCTGAAAAAAATCAACATATCACTGCCACACTAGTACTACCCACATCAAAAAATGTCCCACTATGACCAACTTGTCATTAAACCGTAGGCTGTGTTCTTGCAGATTTGACACCATCCTGATAAAAGTACAAGCACTTGAATTGGCAACAAAAGGCTGCCACTCTGGTACAACTCAGAATAATCAATGGCTCAAGGAGGTTAAAGGTGTCAGTTAGGTTAGATTGATAGGTAGTAATGGCAGAGGAACCTGATATCTCTAGCTTTTAGGTAAAGAGATTTACCAATATGGTATGCGCGTGTCAGTTTCTTAGAGAACCTGCCTTAAGCTTGAATATCTGAAAGGAGTCCTACATCAGTTGGAAGTCTAGATTGAGAAGAGCGCCTGGATGATGAAGGTTTTTATTGTTTGAAGCATTGGATTAAGTGCACCAAAGGTATTAACAAGTCGTTGATGGAAGTCTGCATACCCTTTTTTTAAGCCTGACCATATATTCGTAGTGAGAAGGAATCTACACAAAGGGGGAGGGCCCCAAAAAGACTATATATTCGAGGGAAATGCTCAAATTAAGTGAGAAACATGTCCTGTTGGATGACAGTGATACAAAAGATGATCGTTAGCATCCTATATCCTCATGTCTCTACACATATATTCTCAACTGAGCTCCATGAGTTGCCTAACACCTTTGAGGGTTGTGGAAGTTGATAGTTGCAGAAAGAGTTACAATTGCGTGATCTTGGTCTTAGCTTGAAAATCCAATGAGTTCCCCTCTTAATATTTGAACCCAAGAGTTGCAATTTTGTGATCTAGGTCATAGCTTGAAAATCCACCAATCTGTAGCACTTGAGATTCAAACCCAATGAACTCCCATCTTAAGTGGTGAGCTGGTATTCGCTTGAGCTAAAGTTCAGATCATATCTTATAATCTTGAAAAAATCAAGGATTCAAATTCCTAAGCCATGTCTCCAAATCAATAAACAAAATTATTGGGATAAAATAAGCTCGGTTCCAAAAAGCCGAGAACAAGTAAAAACCTTCAATGTCATGTCCATGACAGTTTTGATTCATCCTCATAGAGATCATGTACATTCCAAGAGGAAAGAAATAACAATCAGAACACCCGGATGTTGCCCATCGACACATACTTTTTAAACATCAATTTGGCAATAAGCAAAGTTGCAATCACAAACGTTTTTAACTCGGGGAATACTGAAACTGAGTACTCAATCTCCAAACCTCATTGATATACAACACAGTTACATTATGAACATGCAAATAAGCACCATTGCTGATAAATAATCTAGTACTAAATCTCAATTCATGAGAGCAGTTACGAAATAGCAGAAATATGCAAAGAATATTCCTCACCTGAAGCTGCAGCGTATGCAGCAAGAAATTGCGAACAACCTCAGTCTCCCCCTTCAAAAGGAACGCAATCGCCGACGGCACGAAATCCCTGATGAAGACCTGATCGTAGTTCAGCTTCTCGTTCGCCGCCGAGGGATCATCGGCCTCCACGCCTCTAGCTCGAGTTCCGACTTGACCTCCGATTTCCTCAAATCTACGCCGCTGCCACCGCCCAGTTCCCTCTCCTCCTCCTCCTCGTCTTCTTCTAGTTTGTACTGCTCCTGGCGTTGTTGCTGTTGGTTTTCCGATTCTGCCCTCTCGACGACGAGGGGGTTTACGGGGCGGCCATCGACGAAGAACTTGTTGAGATGGGGATTGTCGCCGGGGGAGGCGGCGGGCTCGATGGAGGTGGAGAAGAGGCGGATGGTGGGGACAATTACGGGATTGCCCTCGGGGGGCCGCAGAGG